AGCCAAAAAAAGCTAGGTTAGGTAACCTACCTAACCTAACCTATATTTATAGGTAAGGTTAGGTTAGGTAGCCAAAAAAAGCTAGGTTAGGTTAGGTTAGGTAGGTTAGGTAGACGAAAAAACATTAATTCATGAAAACTTGGCTTATTAGGCAAATCGGGCCTTGAATAGTAGGCTGAGAAGTGCGTTCTGGCTATTAGGTACGACATATATGTATATATATATATATATATATATATATATATATATATATATATATATATATATATATATATATATATAATATAATATATATATATATATATATATATATATATATATATATATATATATATATATATATATATATTATATTATATTATATTATATGTGTGTGTGTGTGTGTTTGTATGTGTTGTTTGGTAATTGTGGGCGTTGGTTAGCAGTACCCTGCCCGGGATTACCTGGGCGTGAGTCCCTGTAGGTAAACGCTCAGGACCCTGGGAAACCCTGAGGGAGCGTGTGGATCCGATGGATGCTGCCCCAGAGGCCCCCCCCCCCTCGCTTTGTGGAGGTTCGAAGGTTGCTCTGTCCTTTTGCCTCATAGTGACTCTCACTATTTTGCCTCCATCTGCTGCCTGTGGTGTCGGTGGCACCTTCGGCCCGGAGCCCTGCAAGTTTATGTTGCTTATTTGTGGCTCGATTACCCAGTCTTATGCTGACTTTGCGGGTGCAGGCAGCAAGGGTGTTGCAAGTTGAGTTTCGGTGGTGCAACGCGCTAGGTAGTTTACTCCCCGAGAGCCCCGGAGCTGCCCCGTTTTGGTTGGTGTGACGGGGCTTGGGGGTATTGGATAGTTTGGTTTTGTTCCTTCCGTGCCCCCCTTGTGTTCCCCCCCCCCATGTTGGGTCCGTCCAGTGGTGGGTCCGTTTCTCCACCATTCTTTTCGGGAAGTGCCTTCACAGTCTTGTTCCCCTCTTCTCACGGATCTGCATGACTTTTGGTCTCAGGTGCGCTTTTGCTTTCCGTGCTTTCATGCTTCGTGCTTGCTTTTTTATGTTTTGGAGGCATCGTGGGGGGTTTTGATTCTTCCCGTATTCTTGGACCGTCTATCGTCTTCTGGTCATTTCTAGATTTTGTTGTTTTGTTTGGAGAAACTTCTCCTAGTTTCTCGGTTTTCGGTCCTGTTTCGCTCTTTCTTGTTTGTCTCGTCTCTCCGTGCACTGTCCTGAGCTGCACGGGGTTCCCAGATTAGGCTCCTTGTAGCTCAAATAGGAAGCTGTGCTATGTTTCTTTAAGCTCCTTCCTGCTCTTTTCGACTACGATGAGCGGCTGCCCTGTGTTCTCTCATATGGGATTCAGTCATTAGCAACACTATTTTGTTTATTTTTCTTGTCACTTTCGTGGTTTCTTCTTCAGCTCGTGACTTCTGGGGACCCACATCTGGCATCACTGCTGTGCATGCGCCATGTTAGTTTGTTTTGATATGGGTGGTGTACACATGTTCTGGGGTTTTGTCTCTCTTTTCTCTTGGGTGCTTCGCCTCTCGCTCTTCTCAATTTTCCAGTCCGTGCCCTGTAGCTTCTGGGGGGCGTTCTGAATTGCTGCTATGGGGAGGATGCTGGGTTTTCCCTGCGTATGGGTGTGGGGCTTCTTCTTCGTCTGTACCCTACTCATCTCCTGCATTGTGTGGCTCTGCCTTCTTCCACTGGCGGTGCTCCTGGAATCTTCTCGGTTACGTTGTGTCGTGACACGTTCGTGCCTATGTTCTGCAGGTGAGTTGATGCGGTCTGGCATCACTTTCGGCCAGACGCTGGTTCGTGTTTTGGGATACATATTTGGGATAATATTTCTTATGCTCCCAGCGAGCATAAGAAATATTGCCGGAACAACTTTGGACATCTTCAAGAGGAAACTAGATTGTTTCCTCCAAGGAGTGCCGGACCAACTGGGCTGTGGTGGGTATGTGGGCCTGTGGGCTGATCCAAGCAACAGCCTAGTGAACCAAACTCTTACAAGTCAAGCCTAGCCTCGGGCCGGGCTTGGGGAGTAGAAGAACTCTCAGAACCCTATCAAGCAGGTATATCCGAACATCAGAACACAGGTGACTGCAGCAGGCCTACTGGGCCATATGAGGCAGCTCCTATTTATACCCCTTCAGTCCCACTCTTAAGTATGTCCAGCCCATGCGTGTGTCCAGATAGGGGCCTCACCTCCACCAGGTTACGAGGTACAATGGTTACATACGAAGTTATGGGGTAAGTGTTCCTGTCTGGTTGTTTTGAGGTGACATTTTGCTGCAGTTTTCATGTTGTGGATGCGTGTTGGGAATTGGTTGTGGATGTTTGCTTGACCCCTTCTGTTCTTCCTGGGGCCTTCCTTGTTCATCTGGGTTAATAGTTGCACGGGGGCTCATGGCCCCAATTTTCGTAGTCTTATCTGGGTCACTCTTTACTTGCACATCTTGCAGTGCCTAGCTTCGCCTTTCCATATACTGCAGACATGCGATTATCCAGAATCCGACCATTCGGAAAACGCCCTTATCTGACTAAAATTGTGGCCGGATAAAGTTATCTCACTATCCAGCCAAAATGTCCATGGGAGCCGGAAAAGCGGGTGTTTGGCCAGATTAGTGGCCTAACACTCGTTGTACACCACCGCGAGGAACGGAGGGAGTCACCCCTCACTGCTGTTCACTACCTCTATCCCGCCCACATTCACTTTCCCTCCCTCCCTCCCGTCCCCAAGAGATCCTTCTGTAGGTGGCAGTAGATTGCCACCCTGAAGAATTTCCATCTAATATAATAAAGCATTCAAGAAACAAGTATGTTTATAACTTTCTGTGGGGAGCCCCAACGGCTCCCCTGGAGCTTATCGGGCTAATGTATGTTATATTAGACCAGGACATTAGCTAAGGAGTTCAGACCTACCAGGGACCAGCGCCAGAACCTGGCCACTTCAGAAAGGTTTCAGGGAGCAATGGCCCTGGAAAACCCCCTTGTGGTTGGGGTTTTTCTTATCTGCCATCGACCGGGGTTAACATCCAGAAAGGTAGGCATAACAAAACAAACCCCATATGGTAAAAAACTAAAACAAAAAAACGAACAGAGAAGTAGAAACGCCCTACAATCCCAAGGAAACAAGCAAACATCACACTTTACTGCCGCCCCGATTGTCCGCGCGGCCCTCTCCGCCCCGAGAGGGGTAGGGGGAGCCCCGGACCTCACCACGCCAGCTGCCTAGCATCAGTTCGTAAGCTAATGTCAACCGGGATAGACGCTTCTCTGGCCTCGGTTTCCTAGGTGGTGTTTGCCTTGTGTGGCGTTCACTGCCGTGTGTTGTGTTGTGCAGTGGCCAAGAGTACCTCATCAGTGCCGGGGCTGCATGCGCTTAGGGGCTTCCTTCCCTAAGCGCCCTGTGAGTACTGCCCCTGCGTGACAGGGTTATCTTCCCTGGGGCGTTCAGGAACCATTCCCATAGAGGTTCTTGCTGCTCGGCATTTGCCTCGCGCTTGGGGCCAGCTGGGGTCTTTGTTTGGCCCTAGGAAGGGACTGGTATTGTGCTGGTTAGGGCATCAAGGGGTTGCGCGACCGGTTCCTGTTACCTCTGGAGACGGTGTAATTTTGCAGGGGTTTTCTTTTGTTTTTATTTTCATTTGCCTGATGGGGGGCCTGCCTAGTGTGGCTATAGTTCCACTGGTAGTGTTTGGTGGCCCTCTGCTAGGTACCCTTGATTGTACATGTCGGGGTTTTCAGTGTTGTCCTCTACCCCCTTGTTATTTTTGGGTATTTAACCGATTGGCAACACCTTGCCCGGGCTTCCCGTAGTTGTTAACCCTACGGGCCCTGGAAACCCCTGTAGGGGCTCGGTGGACCATTGAATGTGTCTTCCGGGTTCCAACCCATTTTGTACGGGATCGTTGGTTGCTGTGCCCTTTGTCTCCGGGTGACAGTCGCCACTTTTACCTCCGTCATGTTGCCTGTTGGGTCAATGACACCTTGACCCGGAGTCTTGCGAGAGATATTCTCTGCTTGTTCTCCAGTACTCTCCTGATGTTATTACTGTTCAGAGTACAGGCGGCATCCGTGTTGCAAGTCTTGTATCCAGTCTTGCATAACTTAACAACCCACGCCACAACTACCAAATTAATAGCATTACATTACAGCAGATTGATGAAGAAAAGGACCGTGGAGTCAAAATCTACCACTCACTAAAAGTTGCACAACAGATAAGTGCAGCAGTCAGAAAAGCTACCCAAACTTTTGGGAGTTTGTACACATACAAACTTTTACTTTTCTACACACACGTGTACTCACAAAAGTACACTTGTACACAAAAGTCAAAAGTACTCACACGTACTTTTGACTATAAGGGAAAGAAGTAATGGTTCAACTGTATAAATCTCTGGTGCCCCTAATTGGATTAATGTATCCAAGCATCAAGACCTCATTTTCAGAAGAACATACTGCTCTGCAGAAGGTGCAACACTAGGCAACAAAAGTTATTCCAGAGCTAAGTCATCTCTCATATCAGGAATGCTTGAAGGCCACAGAGCTAACAACACAACAAACTAGGCATGACAGGGTGGTTCTCATTGAAACTTAAAATACTGAACAAACTAGAGGATGTTGATCTGGATATTTTCTTCAGAAGGTTAGATGTAACACAAACAAGGAGCAGTGGTTTGAAGCTCAACAAGCCACAATGTAGGACTGAGAACAGGAGATGCTTTTTCACCTATGGAACCGCCCACCCACCAAAGCCGTAACTGCCAAAACTGTGTCAAGTTTTAAAATATACAGTACCTGGAAAAGATCAAGGCAAATGGGGGGGGGGGGGACTTTCGACAAGCCGCTGTCTTCCTGTCCTCATCGAGGCCACTAGGGTTAGTGGTCCTCATGTAAATCAGGTAAATCAGAAAATATAGGCATACTCTACTGATATTTGGTTAAAAATTTGTTTGTTACTTATGTTTATGTAGGCACAGTTCTTGGATAATAACTTTATCTCTACTCTCTCTTAGGTTCTGCGTGGAAGGTCCTTCTCATCAGCATCAGCCCCTAAGATAGCCTTGGGAGATAGTAGTTCAATAGGACACCAGTCTGTTTTAAGAACAACTTCAGATTCAGCTAAAGTCTTACCAGATATCACCAGACCCAGTCAGACTGTACCTGCTACTCGGAAACGCTCTAGTAATTCATTAAGCAAGGATGTTTCTACGGCAGAAGAGTTTTTCCTTGATGTTATTCTCCAAAGGCATGCCAAGGTTTGTGTAATAAGCGTTAGCATTCATATCTGTTTATAGTTCTGTGCAGTATAGTCTTGTACATGATATGCCCCCATGGTTCTTGTTAGAACAAGTTCCTCATGAGAGGATCATTACATATATTTTGACTAAAAATTTATTTCAACACCATTACTAGGAAGGTCTACAATGACTAAAATATGTGCTGAAGAATTTTGAATGCCAACCATTGCAGTAAGGAATCTCCCTCTGCATGTTTTTCACTACAAATAAATACTGTATGAGCTTTGTTATCTGAAGCCCGCTGAACTGAATACTGTAATTAGGCTATCCAGGCAAAACTGGGTTTGGATAATTTTCTGCCAAACTTATCCTAACAAATATCCTGTCAAATACTAACAAATACAGTACGGGTAACCAGAGATTTGACCGGATTAATCTTTTGTTAGACTGGCCTGACAACCAGGCCAGATTAATCCGGTCAATCTCTGGTTAGACTAGTACAGTCTAAATTAAATATGAATAATTTTCTGACAAACTTTATATCTGAACAAAAATTCGGATAACCGGAGATTAGGTTATGTAAATAGTTGGGTTTTCTGGGGGGAGCCCCGTCGGCTCCCCGGAGCTATCCAGGCTGAATGGATATGTATAACTTTCTGGCATCAGTCAAAGTGCTAGGAGTTCTTGCCTACCAGGGACCACGAGCCAGAACCGAGCCCCCTCAGAGAGGCACGAGGAGCAATGGTCTATAGAAACCCCCTTGTGGTTGGGAGCATTCTATGTCTGCCATCGACCGGGATAGGCACCCAGGAAGGTAGGCGCCCCAAAACAAATCCCTATTCTGGTAAAAATATTGCTACCAAAAGCCAAACAATTGGACAGAACTCCCCAAACAAAATTATCTAACTAGCATGACGTCATCACGTCGCTGCGCCACCGTCTGTGCAACCCCCTCTCCCCGGGAAGGGGAATGGGGAGCCCCAGACCCTCCATGCCGGCGATCCAACTGGCAGTTCTTGGCTGATGGAATTACTGGCTGGTCGAGTGCCTCTGGCTCCGGTTTTTGTTTCAGTTCTGTGCCTTATGGTGTGGACTGTCTCTACTGGTGGGGTGTGAGCCAGGAGTAAGATTCCACGGTACTCGGGCTGCATGTGCCTAGGGCTATCTTCCCTAGGTGCCCTGTAAATACTGCCCTTGGGGCTTCTTGAGGTTATCTTGAGATGATTTCGGGGCTTTAGTGTCCCCACGGCCCAGTCCTCGACCAGGCCTCCACCTCCAGGAAGCAGCCCGTGACAGCTGACTAACACCCAGGTACCTATTTTACTGCTAGGTAACAGGGGCATAGGGTGAAAGAAACTCTGCCCATTGCTTCTCGCCGGCGCCTGGGACCGAACCCAGGACCACAGGATCACAAGTCCCGCGTGCTGTCCGCTCGGCCGACCGGCTCCCTGTGGCTTGGGGCCACCTTCCACATGTCACCTTGGGTTCTACCTCCGCTGTGTCCTTTACTGCTCAGTTCTGGGCCGCCCTTGGAATCGGCTGGGGTTTTGTTGCCCTGGTTTGTCTCTGGGTAGGTGGTAGTTTTCGTCACTGGTAGGGGCGCGGGGTACTGCTCAGCTAGTTTTCATCATAACAGCGGCCAGCTCTGTTCCACCTGGGTACGTTGTCCTCTTGCGGGGTTTTCTTTTGTTTTCGTTTTTGCCTGGTGGGGGTCTGCCTTTATGGTCCCCCATTCCTGTTTTAGGCGATTTCTTTCGATTCCTTCTGTTAGTGGTACTCCCCGCTTGGCCCCCGTGAGTAGACACGTCCCGGGGGTTCTGCTTTAGCAGTTTGTTGGTAGAATTGGGCGCCGGTTCGCGGTAGCCTGCCTGGGCTTCCCTTAGCGTGTACCAATGGCTAAGGGCCCTGGAAAACCCCATGGGGGCTCCGTGGTCTTATAGGTGTGTCCACGGAGTCCCTCTCGCGTCCTGCGAGTTTGACGGTTGATCAGTCCCTTTGTCTCAGGGTGACACTCACCGGTTGTGCCTCCGCCATGCTGCCTGTTGGGCCATTGTTTCTTGTGACCCGGAGTCGTATGACGGGTGTTGTCGGTACGTGCTCTTTCACCCAGGCCACTGGTCATGATAATCTGGTGCAGGCGGCTGCTGCGTTGCTTGCTGGTTGTAGATTACTGCGACGCTCTTGGTTGTTTGCGGCCCCGGATGCCCCGAGGCTGCCCCGTTTTGGTGGTTGGGGTCGCTTCGGCTCTGTCTCCTTCAGTTCCTTGTCCTTCCCCTTCTGTTTTACACACTTCCTCCTTTGCTTCCTGCTCTGAACCATAGGCGGGTTTCGGGGTTGGGGCGGGGTCTGGTTGGGTTGAGACTCGAGCGGTCTCTCGGGGGTTTCCTCTTCCGGGGTGGCGGCAGAGGCATTCGAGTCGGTTCCTCCAGCCGTGCCATATGGGTCTGACCAGTGGGCTCCCTTCCTTAGTGTTTGCACGGCTGCACCGGCTTTTCCTTGTCAAGCTGGGGCTTTGGGGGTGCGGCTCGGCCCCGGGTCATGCCATCGAGGTTCCCGGGGTTAGGGAGGGGTTACCTGGGGGGGCCTCGGTCCAGTTTGCCCCTCTTGGGTCTTTGCACCTTTGGTGAGGGGCTGGCAGTTCCTCAGTGGGGTTGTTCCTTCCCTCTCTGTGTTCCTGTCGTTTTCGGGGATACCCCTCCCTGGGTTCAGTTCCGTGTTCCTTCGGGTTCGTCGGTCCCGTCGTTCCTGGAGGTGTGTTTCGCCCCCTTTTCCTTACCCTTTTCGCTCTTACGTCGCGATACTGTTTCGAAAAAAAAAACTCGAATGTTTATTCAGGTAAGGTACATTCATGCAAGGTGTGAAACACACGTTGATGAATTTATATATTGACCTAGTACATACAATGCCTAAACCACTTCGTATCGTTGTCCCTGCGTGCCCCTTGATCAGGGGTGCTTGTCATGGTTCTCGTTGGTTCACGAGTCTCTTCGTGCCTTCCAACATTATTGGAACGTCTGTTGATTTTCAATGTGCTTTCCCTCTGGTCTTTTGTTGGCCTCGTTGGTTACCTTCTGTCATCTGTTTTCTTTTGCTTCGTTTTCGCCTTGTTTTGTTTTCGTGTCGTCTCTACTTCCTTTTTCAGCGTTCCTCGTCTTTGTTACGCACGACTTTCTGGTGTTTGTACGATGTGTGTTTATGATGTGTCTGTACGTTGTGTGTGTGTACGATTTGTGTGTCCGCCTGGTGTACGAGCCACACCTCCCAGTGGACGGGTGGTGCATTCGCACCTTGTGTGCTGGGGCCGCGGTGTGCATTTTGTTTGTGGGCGGTATGCTTGTGTGTTCGCGTCGTTTCTTGTGGGTTTTCTACGGCTTCTTGCTTGTTTTCTCCCTCCGGTCGTGGCCCTCTGGATGCTGAGGGTGTTATGGATTTATATCTGGGGGTGTCACTTCGTTCTTCCTCTGCTTTCGGGTGTGGATGGCTCGGCGTGGCACCGCCTCCTCCCCCTCTGTACTGCTCCGTCTTCTGCAGGGCGCGCGCCTCTGGATGTATTTCTCCTTCGACTTCCGAATTTTATTCAGGTAACGGTACATACCATGCCTACTGCCTCGAATATGCTTGGCTTTCGGGCACACCATTAGCTCTCACCTGGTACGTTACTTGGCTCGCCTGTGTTGTGGCACGGTCGTATGTCTGCTCTGCAGGTGAGGTTGTCATGTCTGGCGCCTCTGTCAGCCTAGGGCTGGTTCTCATTTTTTGGTGGGGTGCTTGCGGGGGTTGAGCTCTGGCTCTTGGGCCCCACCTCTCCTGTCAGTTGACAGTTGTGCAGTTTCCTGAGCCTCCTGGGCTCTGTCTTCTCTACGTTTGCTCCTGTGGGTGGAGTCTGCCTCCACCACATAGATTCTTGGTGCTTTGCGCTTCCTTTCCCCTCTGACATTGATCAGGTTCTTTTTTGTGTCTGTGGCTCCTTTGGGTACTCGGCTTCCTCCTGTGTCCCCTTGTGCATATGACCATACGGACATACGACCAGAGGAACTGCAGTGGGCCTATTGGCCCGTACGCGGCAGCTCCTACTTATCCTTTTTATGCCCATTGTTTCGTGTCCAAAATGTGCTGCAAGGGTGGCATGTGCCTCGGTCCCAGTTCTATTGTTTCGTGAAGATTGGTGACAATAAACACAACCACTAAGAGGCTACATATGTTTTGTTGCGTATACAGTGGTATGTGGGTGATATTTTGGCAGGCAATGGTGCGAGTTCAGCGCACTGAGAGTCGGTACAGTATCTCGCAAGTGTCTGTTCTAGACCACACTTGCAGGTCGACTAGTTATTATTCGCTACTCTGCTGCTTCTATGCTCGGGCAACACCTCGCCGTTCTCCAAAGGTTGGCAGGAATATTGACTGGAAGTTAGGGATGGTTTGAGTTCCATACTTGGTCCTCTGTAGAGCTTTGCTTCTCTCGTTAGGCTAATGCGTTTGGAGTGAGTATCTTATTGGGATAATCTACTCACTCCACCACCCTTGTTCACTGCTCCATCCTTGTTTACTTTTCCACACTTGGCGGGATTGCGTCGATGGCTCCTATTAGGGGTGTTCGGTGTGGTGTGTTTGGTCACTTTGCAGGGGTCTTCAGTGACTTTTGTCCCTGTCTTTTGTTCTATGTTGTCCTGTGGGGCTCTGCCCCGCATTTCGGTGCTTTTGGTTTCGTTGTCGACGCCTGAGTCTTTTTCCCTCTCGGGACTCTCATTCTTTGCCTATCTTCAGTGCCTGACTGCACCCTGCTGTCCATGAGGTCCATCGGGTATGTTCACCCTCCTCTACACGTTTTGTAGTTTGTCGTGTGCCATACTTCCCGGCCGCTCCTTGGGCCGTATTCTGAGTTTTCCTTACCTGTTTCTGTTTTTCCTCCTCCCATGCTCCACCTATTTGTGTATCTGGGTCAGTGCTTCTTGACTATCCTGTTGTTTGGTGCTCAGGTGGGCCTCTGTCCATGTTAAGTTCCCTGCTTCTGGACTTCT